TATAGGACACCCCATATTGATCAACTTCCCTTACTAATAATGATACGTCGGTCCGCGCGGTGCGGTGGCTCAAGCCTGTAATCCCAGCACTTTGGTGAGGCCAAGCGGGGCGGATCACGAGGTCAGGAGATCGAGACTATCCTGCTAACAACATGAAACCCGTCTTACTACAAAATACCAAAAATTAGCCAGGTTGCAGGTGGCGGGCGCCTGTAGATCCCAGCTACTCAGGAGGCTGAGGCAGGAGAATGGCGTGAACCCGGGGGGCGGGAGCTTGCAGTGAGCGAGATTTGGCCACTGCACTCCAGCCTGGGCGACAGAGCAAGACTCCGTATCAAAAAAAGAAAACAAAAAAAACTGATATTCATTCATCAGTAAATATTAAGTAACTATGTGTCAGATTCTTTTCTATTATGTCAAAATAGATTGATAAATAAGATAAGGTCCTTGCTTTCAGAAGCTTTTCTAGTGGGAGACAGACACTTATATAACTTTTATGGTATTACACTTTTAAACATGGTAGTAGTTCTGATGGGAAAAAATCATGGGAGGTAGAATTAATGGCAAAATTAAGGCACAAACCATGAGCCTGAGGGTGTGTGTGTTTTTTTAAAAAAAAAAGAGAGAAGGACAATTCAAATGTAAGGGAGAGCACAAATCACGGGGCAAAAATGTTAACAATATGTGTGTGGTGTGTCTTCTGCAATTGTATTGAATGTACAGTAAAAGTATGGCTGGTCAGGTAAGATGTCAAATATGCAAAGCTCATGATCTGAACTAAAGAATTTATATCTTGTTCTGATTGAGGAATTGAGAGTCTGTGCTGGATATTGCTCGGCTGATAGTCCATGCCATCCCATCTTTTTAATTATTCCCCTGTATGTATTAGCAGTGGGAATAGAGCAATATTCTTATTACTCCTCTGCCAACAGAATTCCATCTTGAGAATCTACCAACAAGATGACAATTACACGAAATTTGGCCAGGCTTACTCTGCAAACCCAGCACTCTGGGAGGCAGAAGGAAGAGGATTGCTTGAGACCAAGAGTTCGAAACTAGCCTAGGCAACATGAGATCTTCATCTCTACAAAAAAATACTTAAAAAATTAGCCTGGTGTGCGTTGTGTGTATCTGTTAGCCCTTAGTTACTCAGAAGGCTGAGAAGGAGGATAATTTGAGTCCAGGAGTTTAAGACTGCAGTGACCTATGATCACCTGGATGACAAAGGACCCTGACTACTAAAGCGAAAAAAGGTTTTATTGAAGGTGAAAAAGTAGAAATTATTCTCAGGAGCACCCATGGATAGGTTATGTGTCGCATCAGCAGATGTGAGGTTTGCCTGTGGCTACACACATTTCTCCCTCAATCATTTGCTACAAGCATCTTGATATTTTTTTCTTTTCTCTTTTTTTTTTTTGGAGACGGTAGTCTCACTCTGTCGCCCAGGGCTGGAGTGCAGTGACACAATCTTGGCTCACTGCAACCTCGCCTCCTGGGTTCAAGCGATTTCCTGCCTCAGTCTCCTTGAGTAGCTGGGACTACAGGATGCACCACCACGCCCTGCTGCCTTTTTGTATTTTTTAGAGATGGGGTTTCACCATGTTGGCCAGGCCTGGTGTCGAAACTCCTGACCTCAGGTGATTCTGCCACCTCAGCCTTCCAAAGTGCTGGGATTACAGGCATGAGCTACTGCTCCCGGCCCTTGTACTCATTTTCTTAGGCTTTAGCAGTGACTTGCCTAGATAAGCAAATCCAAAGAGGATTCTAAAATTGAAAAAAAACCTCGGTGCCAGTTTGAGGATGAAAAATTTTGAGATAGGATACAGAATGGGAATGTTAAGGAAGGGAAGCTGGTTTGGGGCAAGATTTGGATTTGGATCTAGATGGAAAGACTTTGGTATGACATAAGGGATTTTAAAGTAGAATTACTGTACTTGACATGTAGACTGGAACTATACATATATTATACATCATATTAGTTGAATGTAATATTCATATTTAAATATTAATTATGAGCCGGCACATTGCTCCTGCCTGTAATCCCAGCACTTTAAGACAGAGTGGTGATACCTGAGGTCAGGAGTTCGAAACAGTCTGCGAGCCAACATGGTGAAACCCTGTCTCTACTAAAAATAGAACAATTAGCCAGGCAGTGGCAGGTGTCTGTAATCCCAGGTAACTCCAGAGGCTTGAGGCAGGAGAATACGCTTATACCTAGGAGGGCGGGGTTGCCAGTGCGCTGACTTCCGCCTCGGTGACAGAGTTGAATATTCCTTTGTCAAAAAAAAAAAAA